AGTATACAGTGTGAGACGAGTTTTCGGTGTTAAACCAAAATTATGGTGAATCATCGCAAAATTGCTCCTCCTATCAAGATGCAACTGTTCCAATGGAAACTACACAAAATTTACTACAAGAACTGTTTTTGGAGGTTTGGTAGATAAAGGAACGCACAGTTCCTTAAACAAAAGATGTCTGTGGTTCATGTCGATTCCTCACCATTCTCGAGATATTTGCCATTGAAGCCTTTAGTGATTTTTGCGTCTTTCAATTAAAAAAAAAGCTGCTGAAATTCTAAATAAAACAATTTTGAACAAACCATAAACAGTATTTAGTTCGGTACTTTAAGAACTAGTTTGGACTATTTTTAAACTCGGGGAAAAATTAAAGAAAACTTCTCTTTCTTGAAGATTTGGAGGGCCTTTGTTTTACTTCTCAAAGATCAAAATTCCTCCCGAAATGATACTTTCGGTATTAAAAACTGAACCCTTTTTTACGAGATTTAAAATGTATTTTCTTATCCTGCCCGTGATTATATTTTATGAATTTTCGACGGCAACCGTTCACTATTATCAAAGCATTTCCTTAAGTGAATTGGAAAAATGTAAAGTCATCACACAGTTTAATTAAGCCCAGATTTATAGATTTTCACATTATTTTTTATTGGATAATGGAGGTTTTTGTGCCATTTTAAAGAAAAATTATTCGTTTAAACATCAATTTCTAAGGGAGGATTATGCCGGTGGCCAGAGATTCAGTGAAGCGAATAAGTGAGATTCGATGAGAATTCAAAGTGAAGTTTAAAAAACCGAGTTTTCAAACTAGTTTTTCAGAATAACTCGGTACCGATTAAAGACATATCGAACTGCGGTTTTCACCTGTAATCATGAAATTTTTGAAAATTCTGAAACTGTCCTTCTAAGGCCCAAGAAATGGGCTTGCGAGTGATCGAATCGGCAAAAAATCCCTGACTCTCCGCCCATGGTAAAATTGTCGAAATCGGGCAGCACCCTGATAAGGTTTAACATTCAAAACGAATGAGCAATCACGAAAGTGATCTGCTTCGCTATGCACCTGAAAGGAAATGAAATGAAACAAACTGTATGCAAAGCCTGCGTGGGCTTTATGCCATAAAGGAAATTCTTGCATTTTTTACCAGAACCATTTCTTGAGTTATTGTTCGTTTGATGTGCGGGCCTGACATTGAACCTGCCTTGATTGATTTTCGAGTCAGGGACCTCAATGAAATGAATAGTAGATGAGCTCTGAAAGTCGGAAGATCGTCACATCGAGATCATCCTTTTCCTCCAGTTAAAGTGCACAAGACCTGTTTTACATGCAATAAGACAAAAGTGCAAAATAAACTCAATTTATCCCTCTAGAAGTTTAGGAGACACGAATTTTCAAACTACTCGTTAAGCCCGAAGCATCGGAAACGGCGCCACACTTTTCCGATAACTCCAGTTGAGCCACGTAGCCGCTGGATAAGGGAGTTAACTTCGCCTTTTTTGCATCAAAAATCCAGTTGGAAATTTTTTTAAATGGCGTTGAGGCAAAATTGGTTAACAGGAGTGTCTTTAGCCCACCACACATGAGTGGACACGACCAATGAGGCAAAGTTAGGCTTTTCGCTAAGTTGCGTAAGCCAAACATATTCCCATTGGATGATTTTTCAAGCAATAAAACGATTCAACTTGTTTACATAAAGCTGTGATGTTTTAAACAGATAACGATCAGCTAGTCGAAAGGTTTTAGCAATTCGCTCACATAGCAGATGAAAACTCGGAAGTACCATCATCCATTTACATTATTCATCTCAGGTATGGATCGATTTATATGCTAAGAAGTGCCTTGTCTTGACCATCGCCGAGATTTTTCCAGCGACTTGAAGGTTTTTGAAAAGTGCGTAAAAATGCAAAGCGCTACGCAGCAGAATGGGACGCTTTTCCAGCAGCTGGATGCGTCCAGTGAGCAGTTTTGCAATAATTTGGGTTTTGCTCAGATAGGAAGAGACGAGCGATTATTGTTGCTGGCAGGTTCTTCGACCTCAACCATCGAAGTCAATGTCTTGGCAGTCAACTCGCCTTGACAGGGCACCGCGCCCATACCAATTCTGAACCCCATTTAAATTTTAAACGTTTGAAAACTCCGTTCTGAAAAGTGCGAATACTATAAGGACATTTTTTGAATGTAAAGCAGCCTTTGTGCTCCAAAATGCAACCCATTGGCGGCGCTCGAATTGTCGGAAATGTTTGGCTCATCCCAATGACTGTAAGTTTCGCTAAAGTGCGACCGCATGAGTGAATCAACCACCGAATTGTGTAGCAAAACAATGCATTAACCGCAAACCGATTTTTCCTGCATACAAATGGCCATAGTCAGGAAACAAAACTGGCCTTCTTTCGATGAATTTCAATCAATGGCACCGAGCTGGGGGCATTTTTCTATCGGATCGATCAATACCATTTTCATAAATACATCCATAAAGAAATGCTTTATTTAAATCGACTCATGTTGCCTTTGTGTGTCTGTTCACTCAAACCTTTAACATGCTAATCGTATGCAAATTATACGGGGTGGCTCAAGTCTGAACTTTTTTCACTTTTCTATATGTCTTTGAGAGTTAAGTGTGTTTTTTTGGGGAAGAGGCACTCAATAACTACTGATGTAGACGAAATTTTAGAAGCAAACCATCAAAAATCAATCGGACAACGTAGATGACCAAGAAAATTCTAGAATGAACTTTGTCAGGAAACAGGAAAAGGGGAAGACCAAGAGGAGCTGGAGGAATGACGTGGAGGATGCAATGAAATCAAGGAGGAAATTAATCACGGAAAGAAAATGTGGAAACTGGGAACAGAACGACGTATGAAACCCTTCAGCGTGGTCAAATTCGTTTCAAATGGCGTCTTCTTCAAAGAGGATCGCTTAAAATCGAAATATCAGTTCCAGTCGAATGGCCCCCCAAATCCCCAGATTTAACGCCACCAGATTTTTTAATTGGGAGAGTTTTAAAGTAAAATGTTTACACAAGTACAAACGTACATAAGTGGTTCTTAACAAAGAGACAGTTTTCTTAACTATACAGCGTGTCTCATTAATGCTAGTTAGTGCTACATTATGTCTAAACGGTTAGAGCTCAACTTTTCCTACTGGCATCAAACTTGGTTTTTTAACTGGAACATCCAAATTTTCTCTTCGTGTGTGAATTTGGCATTAAATTAGCAATAATTTGATACTGAATCAAGTGAAATTATCCAACTGGTGCTTATTGTTGCCCAAAAGCGACACACAAAACAGCTATTAACTGAGGAGAGTTTATTCAAAATCCATTCCGCATAAAGCAGTTTTGAAAAATACGCTTTAGAAATGAAACAGCAGGAAAAAAACACAGAAAAATCAATGCAGACAAAAGTGGTATAAAMCCTTTTAATAAAATCATCCAAAATAAACTCTYTTGATAAAAAATTGCATTTTTTTKAGATGCGCCTTGWTCTTTTTCTAAGCAATCGTAGTCTATTTCCACTTCCCCCTCTTTGGAAGTATCCAACAGAMGTTCGTTGTAGAAATTGAGTTCAGGTAGATTCTGCCACTKCMCSTTTKTCATGATYGAACTRTTTTTYCARRGATAMTGAAGATTTAACTTTGTTCTTTGTCCGGCAGAAATTGGATTTGAAATCGGCAGAAGTTTGAAATTCCTATTCACWCCGGTGCAACCTCTTTTATCACCTCTTTTATCGTTTTATCGTTAAGCTTGCTAARGCTWTCCRTCACCAACAAAGTTAAAAAAATACGYTTTTTAAACTTTACTGTTTTCCAGCTGCTCGAARTAAACTTCTGCGGGAAAATGGTCCCAATAATGCACTTCCTGTACGGTTTCTGTGGTTTAGAGTGATTCTAAAACGCAGAATCAAAGAAAGAAATGTTTGGAAAAACCCATAATGGCAAAAAACCAAATGATCGCTTTCGATTGCTTTCAAAAGTGTACTAGTCAGACCAAAATCCAAAATTTGCGTGCACTGGCTGCTCAAATTTAGGTACGCACGAAAGTACTGGTTTGTGCGTGAATTCGCAAGAAGACGATTTTTGAAAAAGTAAAATAAATAAATAAATCAAAAGAGTCCGTTTGTTTAGCAGATAATTATGACTACTGTCTACAATCGGATTACTTGTTTTAATTAAAATTAATAAAGGGCGTTAATTTTATTAGCTTTTTGTACTAGAAGGTGAAAACCGCAATTCGACATCTTTAATCCTTGCAGACTTGTGGGCAAAAGTTTAATTTCCTGGAAGAATTTTTGAAGAACTTCCCCAGCTAGTAGCGAAACTGAAAATGACGTAAAAAACTACTAGTGAATGAGAGAATAATG